CAAGGTAGTAGCAATAAGTGTAAGATAGAATGTAAGATCTTGTGTGGATAGAGTGCAATAGGATTTACTCGAGTGAAATCCCTTGGAGTGTTTGAAATATTTGCAAGGATCCTTGGAGTGTTTAAAATCTTTTCAAGGAAGTAGCTTAAGCGGCGAATAAGTTGCATCTACCAGTGTTGGTCTTAATCAAAGATCAAAAGAAGATAAGAGGTTGAATCAATAACAAGCATTAGGGTTTATGGAGTTTCTCTTGAACACTTCTCTTGTATCAACTTTTTTCATAGTAAGAATTATCCTAATTCCGTTGGAATTAGGCGTAAAAGTACCCACACGTGAGGACGACAACGGGGAACTGTGAAGACAAATTCCTTGTGTATCTTTTCTTTTACTTCTTTACTTGATTTAATATTCTTCAATAAATTTTTCAAATAGCACTGCGTTATCAATTGAATTATAAGTAACTTTCCAAACTATTTTTTGATTTATATCAAGTGATATTTCTTATAATCACTTTTGATTATAAGTGCTTTTATGTATCAACACAACTTAAAGGAAAATATTGAAAATTCACTTGAACACCAAGTGTTTGACAAATTGTTTAGCTTGTTCAACTAAAAAAAATTGCAATGTTCTATCACTTGCTCTATAAGTGCAATTTCTTGAATGTGTTGTTTGATTGATCAATTTGTATAGAATTTTCTTTGATTGGTAAAGTTTAAATTTCATTGTTGATTAGATTATAATAACTTTGAGTGTAAGTGCTTTTTCATAACAACTAAGCTCAAAGAAAATTCTGAAAAATTGATTACACGTGACATGTTCGATTAAGTGTCAAGTTATGTTTTTAATATGATTTCATTGGAAATATGAAACTGCTGTGTTTGATATTAAACTATTAATTGAGATATTATTATGTTGATTGATTTTATAATTATCTTAATTCCATATGGCTTGTGCATATCCGAGTTTCCAATAACTAGGTTCATTTAGACTACTATTTTGATATAGGCTAATAAACCTTCCGCTCAACGTTGTTTTTCAAATAATTTTTTAAGTAACCATTTTGGAATGTCAATTTTAATATGGACATCGATTCACCCCACCCTCTAGATGAGTCTTCGTAGTCTAACATATTTATGGTAATTTCCTCAAAATAAATCTATAATCTGCTTTTGGAAAGGGAGTGGATTCATGGAATTGGGGCAGTACCTTTGTCACTCCATTAATGTGTTATAATTTGGAGGGAGGACGAGATCATTGAAAATATTGAATCAGAACAAGGTTATTTCTTGGAAGAAATAAACCATGTGGATCGAAGGAACTTTGATAGAAACTTTGAAAACATAGTATCATGTCCACCTGCAAGCTTTGATTGTATCCTTCTTGAAGAGGCATTTTCTCTCTTACACTCCACAATACCTATGGGTTCATTTGGGATAGGGAAATAATGGGAGATGTTTAAAGTGAGAGATTTGGTGGAACTAGAGCTACAAATAAATCTTGGGAAAAATCTGATCAAACAGTTACCAAGGTGATTTTCCCCATAGATAATGTTGAAAATAAAGAAGGAGATCGAAAGGCTCAAAAAGAGCAAGTTTATCTAGACAACCAGGTATGTCGAATTGCTTGCAAACATAGTTCTAGTTATTAATAAGAATGAAACTTTGAGGGTGTATATAGATTTTAGAGATCAAAATGTTGCGACCCTAAAGGATGAATACCGTATGCCTGTCACTGAAATGTTGGTCGACTCAACACCGGGTTTTAAATATTTGCGTATGCTTAATGGTTATTCTGATTATAACGAAATTTTTATTCTAGATGAAGATATGCCAAAAACAACATTTCGTTGCCCATGAGCTTTAGGCACCTATGGGTGAGTAGTAATGTCATTCAAATTGAAAAATGTTGGAGCAACCTACCAAAGGGTAAAGAATTCTATTTTTCATGACTTTATTGAAACTTTTATGCAAATTTACATTGATGATATAGCCACTAATTTTGTGTCGAGACATGGTCACTTAGACCATCTTCGACTATCATTCAAAAGAATGAGAAAGTATGGAATTAAAATGAATTCTCTTACGTGTGCATTTTATGTGCAGGAAAGAGATTTCTTGGGTTTCATTGTCCATAAGAAGGGCATCAAAAGTTGAGTGAATTGGAAATCCAGGCCATGATCATACCCGAATCCTTCTGAATGATGAAGGTTAAATATATGTTGTCCCTAACCGACGAATAAATTCCTGATTTCCTTGGTAATAGTTTTTGTTTTTTGTTTAACAATTGCGCACATTTGTGGATAGTACTTATATTGTCTTTTCCTTTCATTGTAGATAAGATGATAGATTTATCTATAGTCGAGTAGAAGAAAGTTATGCTGGAGGCTAGAGCTGCTCGAAGAGGAGTCATTGTACCTTCTACGATTAAGTCTGACCTCTCCGGGTTAGAGACTCGGGCTTTGAAGAGGCTTAAGGTGACAGGCTCCAACGCGACCTCAAGCATGGTCGAGCCCCAAGTTTCTGCTCCATCCCTTCTGGAGGAGGTTCAATAGGGCACCCCAAAGAAGTTGAAGACTCTTATGAGTGATGAGGTTTTCCGGGCCGACTTGGAGATTGTTATATCCAAATATTTTCCCCTAAGATCCCTCATCACATCACATATATCTCATGCATATAATCAATTCCATGGTTATAGGATCTAATGGCTCTTTGGCATCAGGGTTTTTCCCTATGGATTGAGGTTGCTATATTTCTCAAGCTGGTTCAATTGGTTCTCTCATTACTCCTGCTATAGAACCAAGGTTTTGTGTTACAAGCATCATGGATATTTTCCTTGATAAGATTCCTTAAGAATACAAGGTTTTCTTCATCATAATTTCTTCAAGAAACAAAAGCATTAGGGTTAACTCGTGGGTTTAAGATCTTATCATGTCTTCATTAAGAATGTCTTGAAGCCAAGGTTTTTTTCCTCTCACTATCTCAAGCCTTATTCATTAATGGAATAGAACAAGATCATTTAGGGTTTCTCCTATCTTGTTTGGAGCTTGGTATTAGATCTTTAATAGAATTTCATCGTGCTAGGTTTTTTCTCCTTAAGGCTACAAGGATCATCATTTGTTCCTTATTGTGATTTCATAATCATCATGTAAAGCTCCCATTTACTACGTACTATATGAGTCATTTATTTTCAAGACGTCTAGAAGATTGAATCATGGTCTTCTTCTTGTGGTGAGACTTGTATAATGATTAAGTGTGGCTTTGGATTTTCAGCACAATATTTTATTGACTAAAGAGCGAGTAATACATCATGGCAGGGGTTTAGGGATTATTTGTAATCAAGGCCTTATTATCTCTTCAACTTCTTGATTGTTTGCAAGTTGAATTGAATTTGAAGAGTGAAGTAGAGAATGGATTTATTTTTGTGAAATGTTTCTGTCAAGATTGATTCAATAAAACTCATGCATATGGTTTGGGTGGAATATATTTACAAAAGTATAATCTGAATTCAAAGTCTAGTCAAGTGGAACATCGAGAATTCGAATTACAAAGGCCTTTATCATGTTTCATACATGTATCATTTAAGATTAAGGTTTCAAAACTAGGAAAGAAAATGATTATGAGGACATCAATGTAGGAAAGAAAATTGTATTGGCTTTTCAGACTCTTGGTGTTGTCTTTGGTGATGTCGGAACAAGTCCATTGTGTACATTCAGTGTTATGTTCAGAAAGGCCCCTATAAATGAAAATGAAGACATTATTGGAGCATGATCATTTATCTTGTATACTTTAATCTTGATTCTCTTGCTGAAATATGTCTTGGTTGTTTTGTGGGCCAATGATGATGGAGAAGGTGGTACTTTTACGTTATACTCCTTAATTTGTTGTCATGCTAAGGTGAGTCTTCTCCCCAATTAGTTGGCATAAGATGCTAGTATATCAAGTTTTAGACTAAAGGTGCCATCCCCTGAGCTCGAAAGGTCATTAAAAATCAAGGATAAACTTGAGGGTTCTCTAACTCTAAAGAAGACTCTGCTGATAATAGTGCTTGCTGGTACTTCTATGGTGATTGCTAATGGTGTTGTAACACCAGCAATGTCAGCATTGCCATCTGTTGGTGGTTTTAAAAGTTGGGATAGATGCAATGAACAAGAAAGACAGTGGCATCACATTCTAACAACTCATCATAAGAATACAACACTCAAGTAAAAGAATCATCATTAGGTACACAAAAAAAGAACACATACTTGTTGTCCAAACATCTCGATTCAAAACAGAAAATTCCCACATGAACCGCCCTACAAAACAATCATGCCCTGTTGCAACTCTTTCAAACCATGTGCAGCCATGCATTAGTGTATAGTTAGTTCAGGAAATTCAATGAAATAGCAGTTCTGGATCAAATTCAAATGAAAAACTAATTTAGCAGAAAATAGAAAATCCCAATCTCATTTCAATTCTGACTAGCAACTAATCAAAGAACAGTTACAACAACTTTGATAGCTCATCTTAACTACCTTAAACCAGCTCAACTAACTTTCAACTACCTATAGTAACCCTCTAACTAATTCATGACAGAGGATCCGATAACCAACTTCTAAACTCCCTATTTTCCAAACTAACTCCTAGGAGTTTTAATCTCCTACCATCTAATTTCTCTAACCGCTTTTTAAACTGAGGGCTGGGATGAATTCTAATCTCTAACCAACTCTAACAAACTATAACAGAAACTCTCAACAAACTATAACAAAAATTCTTAACAAACTGTAAGAGATAACAAAATTGAGAAGGTAGAAGGGGGATTTCATTCACAACAAAAATAATAGAATACTGACCTTTTCAACTGTCTCGATAGTCTCTCTCCCTCTCTTCCATCGTCATATGCAAGCCTTTTCTCTCCAATTGCTTCTACAATCTTGATTATTTTTTGCAACTGAGCCTACATATTCATACTGCATCCACCTTATCTCTGCAAAATATTCATCACCAATATCAACTGTATCATACTCCTCTGTCTTCATCTTCCTCATCATGATATTCATCCCTTACATCACTCTTCATTCTTGACGCTTTAGCCACAAACTTCATCTTCAACCTTCGACGATCATTCCTCAAGAAACTCTGAATTACATCTTCACTAATCTGCAATTTCGACGACCAAATCTTCATCAACAATTCACAGCTTCAATCTTAACGATAAACCTTCAATTTCAGAAGTGCATCATCATCATCACCATAACAATTTCAAATCCGCAACATCAACGATTCCACAACCAAAATCTTTATCTCCTTCATCAACACAGAAACAACAATAACAACATCATCATTGTTTCAAACCTTTCCACCATACAGAGACGTGTTCGCAAAAATAAGAAGAAACATAGAAGAAGTAGAAGAAAAAGAGCATTAGCAAGGCTCAAGCATACCTGGAGAACTTCTGTCGGAGCCGCCATGCTTTCTGCTGTAGAGGTAAAAATTTCTCTCATTCTATGATACCAGCATGCAGAGCGAACTTGATTGATCATTTCCCCCGTTGTTTCATACTTGAATCGTGCGACGTTGATGTTTAATTCCTTGATCCTCTACCTAGGGTTTAGAGAGTTCAAGTTAGAGTTAGGAAGATTAAGGGAGATTGAAACGAATCGAACGTGAGAATAGAGTTTGATATCCTGGAATTCAAGGTGATGATTTAGAATCGGATGGAAGGTTGGGGATAGCTGAGAATCACGAATCGAAAGTGAGCTTGAGTGGTGTGCAGTCATTCACAAGAGGTTGAGGAGTCCATCCGCGACGCCGCGATTGACGGAAGTAACGAAGAAGGATGAAAGTCGTCGCCGCCGTTTTCCAGTGAGAGAAGAGAATGGAAATGAAGAGTTACCCAAAGCTTAACCCTAATTCCTCTTATTTTGGTTTTTTTCTAGATGTTATTAATCGTTTTTGTTTTTGGGTTAAAATTAAAATAAACAATAAGATGAATAAAGAGAATTGGATAGTTGTGTTGACGGTTGAGCCTTCGAAATGAACCCCCTTGTAAATATAGTAGATATCCTTTCTGCTGCTGATGAAGCTTTTGAGCGGGCCAAGGATCAGATACTATGTCTATATCCCGGTTTGGCCATATCTTATATGGACTACTTTAAGGTGGCGCATGATAACCACCTTGTAAATCTCAAAGAAATGGACAAGACTCCCTCTCCTCAGTTGAATCCTAAAGACCCTTCTTCCAAGGGGGGCATCAACAATGATGGTGACAAGAAGGAGAATCTGACTGCATTTTGTTTTTTTGTGTTTTTGGTAGTCATCCGATAAGGATGCAATATGTAATTTTTTGTTAAGGGATTGGCTTGTCCTCCCTTTTTGTTGCCTTTCTTAATTATCGCCTCCTGTATTTTGTACTTTTGACTGCCCTTTTGTAGCTTTAAGTAACCATTGCTTTTTGCTTGAATTTTTAGCTTTCATCTTTAGCTTTCTGCTTGCGTTTTTAACTTTTAAGATAATTCGGTATATATATATATATATATATATATATATATATATATATATATATATATATAAAGCCCCTAGGACATAAAGTCCATCGGGATATATGTGTCCGATCATGTAGTGCCGGGTATTATCTTAAACTTAAGAGACCCAACAAATTCTTCATGGCTTTTGTTTTGGTTCTTCCGAATGACTTTCATCCCTAGGAGGATCGTGTACTCGGAAGCATAAAAGGCTTCCCGGGTACATAACTCACGAAGGTGTCCTTTCGTCCGCACTCTGGCATGAGTGAGGGATTTTCCGGATTCTGAAGACTCTAGGGGTACATATTTTAAACACCGTATACTCAGTCTTGTGTCCTCATCTATTTTTATGTAGTCAGCTTCGATGTCTCTTTTAAGAGCCCCAGGCCTGTATGAGATTGGGTGTTTATTCAATTGTTTATTTTTTTGGGCTAAGGAGCCCCAAGTGAACTTGTTGTCTCCTAGTTACCTCAATGGGTTTTTATCCATCTGATTTAGAGTACTCTTCATCGATAGGGTAAGTTGGACCCCATATCATTGCTGAGATATTTCTTTATCATTTATATGCAAAGTTTTCCGGGTATGCCTGGAGCGAGTAATCGCCTTTTTTAAACCAGGTGTTTATTATGGAACTCGACTCTTTATACGAGGAGTGTTAATTCATGGTACTCGACCCTTATGTGAGGAGCGTTAATTCATGGCACTCGACCTTATGTGGGGAGCTTTTATATTACTTGGCCCTTATGTGGAGAGTGTTAATATTACTTAACCCTCATGTGGGGAGTGTTAATATTACTTGACCCTTATGCAGGGAACATAAATATTACTCGAACCTTGTGTGGGGAGTGTTAATATTACTCGACCCTTATGTGGGGAGTGTTAATATTATTCGACCCCCATGTATGGAGTGTTATTAAGCATCTCGACTCGTAACTAGGATTGTTATTAAGTGCGCATAGAGGCTTTAAGGCGTAACCGTCTTGATCGCGGTCAGAGGCTCGAAGGCTTAACCGGCTTGGGGACAGATAGAGGCCCGGAGGCTTAACTGGCTTGGTGGCAGACAGAGGCCCAAAGGCTTAACCGACTTGGTTCCAGAGGCTTTAAGTGCGCTTGGGATTTTTCCGGATCAGAGCTCCTTTGCATGATGGCGAGGTTAACCGAATTTCCAGAGGCTTTAAGTGCGCTTGGGATTTTTTCCGGATCAGAGCCCCTTTGCCTGAAGGCGAGGTTGACTGAGTTTCCAGAGGCTTTAAGTGAACTTGGGCTTTTTTACGGATCAGAGCCCGTTTGCTTGAATGCGAGGTTGATCGAGTTTCTAGAGGGTTTAAGTGCGCTTGGGCTTTTTTTCTCAGATCAGAGCCCCTTTGCTTGAAGGCGAGGTTGGTCGAGTTTCCAGAGGCTTTAAGTGCGCATGGGATTTTTCTCTATCAGAGCCCTTTTACCTGAAGGCAAGGTTGACCGAGTTGCCAGAGGCTTTATATGCGATTGGGCTTTTTCCCAGATCAGAGCGCCTTTGCGTGAAGGCGAGGATGACCGAGTTGCTTGAGGCTTTAAGTGCGCTTGGGATTTTTTCCAGATCACAGCCCCTTTGCCTGAAGGCGAGGTTGACCGAGTTTGTTATAATTTATACAAAATAGTGCTACAAATATTTGTTTTCACTTCAGGTGACTCATTAAAACCTTTGCCCTTGCAAGGGAAAAGAGTGCATCCCGTACATTTTATTAATGACCTTATTACATAGTTTTAACCATAGTAAATCCTAAGATTGGATATATTCCATGTCCTAGGTATTTCTATGTCGTCCAGAGTATCTAACTTGTAGGCTTCATTGTTTAGCTTCTGAAGGACTCAGTACGGGCCCTCCTTGTTTAGAGATAACTTTCCTTTGTTCTTGGGATCAACAATCCTTTTAGAACTATATCACCCAGTTGGAAACCTCTTTGTCTGACCTTCACTTTTAACCTCTTAGCCAATATATTCTTGACTGCAAATTCCCTTATCTGGGCCATTTCTCGGACCTCGTCCACCAAGTTGGCAGAACTGTTCAGATCGTCTTTTTTGGCTTCTTCATTAAAGTGCTCCCTCATCCATGTAGAGGTGTTGATCTCTGCTGGTATCATATCATAAACCTTGTATACCATCCGGAAAGGTGTTTCTCGAGTGGTGGAGTGAGCTGTTGTATAGTATGACCAAAGGATCTCTGGAAAGTACTCGAACCACAAGCCCTTTGCATTGTCCACCTTTTTGTTCATTCCGATTAAGATGATTTTGTTTGCTGTTTCGGCTTATCCGTTGGCCTGAGGATGCTATACAGATGTTAATCTATTTTGGATACCTAGATCTTTGCAGAACTCCACCACGACTGTGTTTGCAAACTGTGTCCTATTGTGAGATGTTGTACCCCAAAATTTGCCCTCCCTTTTTCACAAGAAATCACAACCCTAGGGTTTTCTCAGATTTTCAAGATTGGCTCAGGAATCGATCAAACAGACTTTTCTATGGCAGAAAATCAAGAATTAGGGTTTCTCTCGCATATCTCAAAAGAAACTGAATTCTCAGAAATTCAAATTAATTGTCACATGTTTTCACACTTTTTCGAGTTTGCTGAAAAGTTACTGGTTGTTCTCAAGGCTTGTTTATCTGGGATAAGAGATAGGAACTGAGATGGTCATTTGGAATATTCAGGTTTTGTCTGATCCAGGTTAACCAGATAATGTGCGTCTGTTAAAACATTTGCTTGTTAATGGAATGAAATGCTTGCTTGTTTATTGGAGTACCCAGTGCGTATTTTGATTGGAATGTTGTTGCAAGGTTACGAGACTACAAAGTTATTGGATTACTTAAAGTTTAAGTTATATGTATTAGAATTGTTGGAATGCAATTTCAATTATTTTGATCTGAGAATCTTAAAAGATTAAGTGAAGATGCAGAGAGAGAATTCCAAAATATTGACAGTAAAAGGTTCTATTCAGATTGCCTCACAAAGATTTTTTAGATGTTGATACAAAAGTAATTTATTATTTGAATACTGTAGGTTTTACAACTTATAGTACTTGGAAAAATAAATTATTACAATAAATGGAAAATCTATCTAAGTTAAAAATCTAAGTCTAAGCCGTGCTCGCCACAAAGTCTCCGGCTTCTTCTACTTTGTCATCATCCAAATTCAAAGAGAGAGGGAAAGAGAAATCAAAGTTTCATAAAGGAAATATCAAAAGTTTCATAGAAATCATCATCAACATTCAAGTTCAGTAAAACATCAACAAAGGAGTTTCAGAAACATTTAGCAGCGCCATCATTCAAATTCAAAGAAAGAGGAAACAAAGTTTTCAGAAGTGAAATAATCAAAACAAGTTCAAATCAGAAGCAATCATCATCAACATTCAAGTTTCAGAACAAGCATCATCAACAAAAACCAACAAGAATCAAAAGTTTCAGAATACACAAGCATCGTCATAGTTCAAAGAGAGAAGAGAGGCGATAATCCTCACAAGTTTTAGAAGCGGTCTTCATCATCAACTACCAACAATCACAAGTTCCAGAAGCGCTTGGCCATCATCATTTCCTCTCCTCCACCTTTAGCCACCAAGGAACGCCGCCATCTCCTCTTTCCTCTCCATTTTTCCAGAAAATCTCACAGGTATATCCCTTTACTGCACCTTAGATACATGATACCATAGATTAAAAATGAAACTGGACAAAACATGCGAAGCAAACATGAATGAAAACTGCTAAATCTAAATAAAATGAAACATACTGTTTTACAACAAAGCCATGGATCATTATGAGGAGATGAGAGAGGGAGACAGTGTTCCAGCAACCATGAACGGAGAAGAAGATCAGAACGAGCGATGGTGAGTGAGAGAGATGAAGAGGGAACGAAGACAAACGGCGCCGCTGTGAGAGCGCGCCCCAAACCCTAATTTCTTGAAGACCCTAACAAAAATATCACCAACTTTGCCTTGGGCCTGTCCGCCCCTCCAACCAAAGCCCATACACGAATTAGTGGCTTGCACCCC